TCAGTTTAACAATAATTCTAGCAAATGAAACATTGTCATACAAAAATTTGTCACAGTAAAACATAAGTGAAACACTAATTGGCAAGTAATACTCGGCCAAACAATTCTTGACGAAAAGCAGGCAAACTTCGCTCTGTAGAGAAGTTGATCGTAGTGATGAGTCCCTCACTCGCGAGGTGCCTCGTTTGAGTTCCTCATTTCGACAAAATGAGGGAGTACTCGTTTATCAATTTTGAAACACCTCATTCAGTTCCTCACTTTTGGAGTGAGGAGCTAAATAAGGTTGTGGACTTCTTGAGTGAGTAGCTAAATAACGAGTTGTTTCGAATGAAAAGGCGACTCGATATTTACTAAATATATTCAAGATTGAGCGAATGGGTTAAGTTTTATGAGTTTTTTGGAACGATTCAGGTTTGTTTATGTGTTTCTTCGCAAATACGTATTTAATATTTTATAGATAATTGATATGAATTAGACTAAGTAAATATCAAAGTTAATAAAAATGTATCTGTTTTATTTAGAAATGTCGTATTTATATGACTCGAAATATAAACGATTGATCGATTTTAAAAATGGAACATTTGAAACTATTAAAAATAAGTTGCATGTTGTGGTCATTCTGATAAATTATAGTCTAGTAAAGTTTATTTCTTAGAATCTAAAGACAAAATATGTTTTGTTTAGCATTACCGACTCCCTCCCTCATTTTGTACCAAACGGCAACGTTGCGCGCGCCTCGCTACATACTCATTCGCTGCTACTGTAACATTACCTATCCTCACCTCAAATGAGTGGTGACTCGCGAGCCCCTCACGAGGGAAAACGAGGTCCTCACTCATCCTCATTAAAAAAGAGTGAGTAACACAACGCTAGTTGATCGGGCCGGTCCGGACCGGCCAAACATAGTGGCTGGCGCGGGCCGAGCAATCGGACATTTCGCTAGTAGGCTTAAGGAACTCCCACTACACTTGTGACGGGTTCAATGCTTGGACGAATTATTGAAAAGGCTGACAAGTTTGAGTATTGATTTATTTTATGGTTTTAATGGGTAAAGAAAAGAAACTGTAACAAATAAAAAAATTATATAAAAACAGTTCGTATGTTTACCTAAATATGTAATTAAAATTGCCAAATAAAACAAATACATACCCATTTTTGGGTTTCTTAATAAAAAATTTAATCACACACACATTTTAGTCACATATCTTCATAATTATAATATTTATATTTAAATTTATACGATATAAAATAATATGTTCACAACAGATGATTTTTTTACGACCTGACATTCATAAACCCCTCCTTATAGTTAGTTAAGGAAGATGGGCCTTAACCTTCCACGCAAGCCCAATGCATGCAATGTTAAGATTTTTGTATGAAATCCGGTACAGTGCCCCTAGCGGTAACTACCAGGTACTACAAATCTCCATACAAATTCTTAACGCGCTCACTAGTGAATGCGTTAGCGTAAAACTTACACTTACTACTCGGGAAATCAAGACAATAATTTTACAATCGTTCGCCACCACGCTAACACACTGCGCCATCGAACTCTTTAATATATACCGACCTAAAAATATCAAAGATTCTCACAATAGGTACAGTCGGCCAAGAAAGTGGTCTACCACCCTAAGGTTGAATTTCGCGTGTTACGTCAACTAACAACAAGGTTGATTTTCCGTAGCATTAATTTTTTGACACGTCAAGTACACGTCATTATTGCTATCTTCATCATTTTGACGTAACCTTTGACAGTAATTATCTATACCTATAATAAAAATGTAACAAGGTTACATTTGTAAGATATTTTGGAAAAAAAATATATGGACGGCCTTCATAAGACTAATAGAAGCCAAAAAAACCAAGCACGTGTTACCCTTGCTTTATGTAAGGGACAGTTATCCTGTTAATAATTAAATTGACGCATTTCATTTTCTGGATAAACGTTCCGGACGGATGGCAACATAGCATTTTGGAGAACATCAACATAATCTGATGCCGTTGCTCGTGGTGGCAAAAAGGTCAAGTCTCCAACACCATCGGCAGTCATCCATCCATACAAATTTACCGAGATACGACCCGATTCTCTATTTGCCGCGACATTGGATTTTGCGTGTATCGCGTTTTATTGAATCGCCAAAGGTGTGTTGTGTTGGCTGGATTTAAAAGTTTTCTCGTCACAGAAAACAGTGTTACTCCAATCAAAATCCAAATATTCTATGGCGAAATTTAATCTGGCCATTCTATGAGCGTCAGTCATATAAATTTTCTTTGCATAACGCCTGTGATGTAAGCCCATGTAATGTAAATGGTTTCTAATGGTTTGGGGAGTCACGTCAAATATGTCGGCAAAATAACGCGTTAAAGCCAGATTCCTCATAACTCCGTCTCATGAAGACTCGCTGAGTATCTGATATTTCAGGTCTACGACCGCTACGACTCCGAGTGTTCAAATTCCCCTCCTCGCTTTCTCGCCTTATCCAAAGACGGACAGCTTGTCTCTATAATCAAAAATAAAATATGAACAGAAAAAATTAAAAAAAAAATTTACACTCGGACTTGGTCTGAGATTTTACATTAAACTCACGTCAGACATAATAATACTTACCGACACATTTAATTCTCTAGAAATCTCACTAATATTCAAACCATCATTGTGTAATGCGATTATTTGTGCTCTTTCGTTAATGGATAAATTTCGGGGCATTGTAGTGTAAATTAATTAGGGAAATACCTACGGAAAATGCCGAGAAAATATTTGACATGAATTGTCAAGTGATATATTCTTTTTCAGTAAAAGAGTTTTCGTAACAAAATAGTTTCCACTTTGAAGTGACCTACTTAAATTTTAAATTTATGAAATATTGTGAAGACTATTTGTTGTTGCAAATTATTATCTAATGCATAGGCTGCAAAGGTTAAAATAACATTTGTGCTCTACGACAACACGTCAGCATTGTGCATCTCTTTTATTGTTTGTATGCAATTCTAAGATTCGCCTTTAGCGATGCTTTAAAGACACGGGAAATGTTGTCAAAACTGGTAGACCACTTTCTTGGCCGACCGTACATGAAGGCGTAGATACTTAATATTTCAATGTTAAAACGATTTTATTCACAAATTCCAGATATAGAATGAAACAGGTACATACCGGTAGGTAGTAAAATATTCATGTTATTTAACTAAAAAGAAGACAACCCTAAAGTTGTCAAAGAGAGGCAACATCTGGGTGAATACAGCGGTAGGTGCAATCTGGAATTAGACTTTATGGCGTTGGAGCTAGAGTCGCTATTCGATTAAATTATTCAACACAGTGCGTCTTCTGTAACTATTTCTTCTGTGTGGAAAGGCAGGATACCATAGAGAAGAGAATTAAAAGACTAGAAAATGAAACTTAAAATTCAGAATGTCAGAGATTTTCCTTGTTTAGGATTAAGCTAAAATAAAACTACGTTGAAATTTGTAATAAGAATTTTGATGATCGGTGAATCAGTGACTCAGTCTGTAACAAATTCAATAAACTATTGGCGAAATTCTATAACTAAAGTAACTAATTTTATAACAGATATTTTTGTTACTGAAAAATTGGACGTAGTTAAAAAGGATCCATCCCACACAATGTCAGTTTTCAGATATAGACGATTGAAGTTTAAGCTTTATTTGCTTGTTGATGTAACATTTTTGTGTATTATATTTTTATCTAATAGCAAAGAAAACCACTAACATTATCTTATTAAATGTCATTTTAACAGAACTAACAATATTCATAAAATATTAAGGTTAAAGTATGTTTGGATGCTCTTTGATATATTTAGGTTTTAATTACCTTATTATTACAAACAAATCTCAAAAACGATCCAAATGAAGAAATGATAGATTAATTAACTAATACGCTAAAATTTAATCGAAAAAACTATTTATTGAAGGTTCTTTATATTTATTGTTTTAATTTATAATGTCAAATGTATTCTCACTGTCTAAAATCCTACACCTTTTAATAAAATTACCTTTAAGTTAATTGATTCAAGCGTTTTCAACCTTTATTGTGATTTTTAACCAAGATTAGTGCCTTTAATTTGCTATTTTACTATATGGATCCAAGAAGCTTGAGTCGTTTTCATGGAACTAAAGTATGAACCTACCAAAGATGTGGGATGGTAACTACCATTGAAACAAACGTCAAATATTCAATACAGCTCAGAGCTTTTTTCCTATATGAAAGTATAGATCCCGATGGACATTTTGGTATATTTAACTCATTTTCAACCAATTTGTGGGTTGGATCCTTTTTGAGTAACTACGTCCAATTAAGCTTCTAATTTCATCCATAACGAACTTATAAAAAATGTCCCTAATAACTTCGAAAAAGGGATGGTATCGCCTTAGCTTTTTATCTCAACTTGACGGGAGCGTATCCGTGTCAATCTACATTACCTTTTTTTAACATGTATCAAATTTCATAAGTGTATAATACTTTACATTTCTCCAAGAATTTCGCGCAACTTGGACATCAAATCGCTTTTAATAAATTATCTTCCAACTTAGGGCATAGAAAAAGTTTTATTTATATCGATTAAGTAGTTTTCAGGGTAACTATTAAAATTTAACTGACTTTAAAAGGAAGCAAATAAAAAACATTAAGAAATAGTAACCGAAAACAGTTTAATTATACTGCGCATTGTCTATAGGTGATATACAAACAATATATGTATATTTCTATGAATCATTTTATGAGTCAAAGCCCTATCGCTTAACAATACCTCGTGGTTCCTTTTTAATTATGATAAGTTAAAGTTAAGGCATACCTCAGATTTACATGAAAAGTTGGTGGGCCTTATCTCAGTCCACAATATTATCTCAATCCTACTTATATTATAAATGCGTGAGGATGTATGTATGTTTGTTACTCTTTCACGCAAAAACTGCTGAATGGATTTAAATGAAATTTGGTCTAAGGACGATTCTTAACCCGAATTAGAATTAAAACAAAAACATGTATTGCTTTAATAATTTATTATTTGTCTTATTAAAGTATCAGTTATGTATTAATTAGTGACTTATATTTTCATAAAACATAGATGCATGATTTTATAGATTGTTACGTATCCAAGTAAGGTACCGCGACGTACGAGTAAACACATTGGGGTAGCGGGACTGAGTACATCCGTTTCGGAACGAGTATATGCCGACGACGATACCATTGTCGAAGAGCGGACCACCCTCGTCACCCTGGCATGGACCACGACCGTCAAAGTCGAGCAAGCCGGCGCACAACATATTGGCGTTAATGGTGCGTCCAAGCTCTCTATAACGAGTTGTGCAGGTTGCCTGGGTCACTGGCCTTAATTCAACGAATTGCAGAGGAGTAGGTGTTAGAGAAGGTAGATTCTAAAAATACAAAGGAAAACAAAACAGTTAGCTACTTTTTAATCAAAGTTACGTTTAAATATGAAATTTTAAAAAATATATATATATTTTAAAAATGTCTGCACAACAAGTATGTACTTTTCTTTTCCGAGTAATGAATTTTCTGATAAATCTATTTTATAAAAGTAAAGTACCGAACGGTAATTATGAATTTATAAAGTAAAGAAAAGGATTATAGATAAAATAATAATGCTCACAGTATTTCCCCAACCGGCTGCCCAAACAGGTTGGTTGACTCCTATGTTATAATTGGCAGTCGGCGGAAGGGCTGCTTGGTGGATGTTACTCCCATAAATAATGACTTCTGTGGTGCGAATTATGGATATATCGTTGATTCTTGTTACGGCGTTGTATTGTTGATGGTTGATAATAGAGTTGGCGTGTAAGAGGATACCATCGGATCCAAAATTGAGGGATCCTACACGTATTCGAAATCTGTGTTCCGTGTGCCCACTGTTGATAAAAAAAATATAGTAAACAGTGTTGGATTGAGCAGGTGACGTAGGTTGATTTTACCTGATTTATTAAATACAAAACTATTTATTTATTTTAATGAGAAAATTCAATGCTTACATCCCACAAACACGGTTGGGGACCTTACAACTTTTTTTATGTGGCAGTGTTGCAAAGAAACAGCGCTTACATACATATGTTGTAGAAATATAATATTTACTAATATGCAAAATTAACAGGTGAACACGTAAATACAAAAATAGAAATAAATATACTACTTTATATTACTAGTTTTGAAAATGTTAAACACTATACTGATAAATATTTTTAAGTATAACATTGAAAATGCGAAATTAACCAAAATATAATAATTAGAACATAATTTTCACCTTAATCGAAAGTTTAAAATATTTGTGTAAATATTCCTTTCGGCTGTTTTTGGTGGATTGATGAAAATACGCTTACAAGTAGTGAAAAAAAAATATTTAATACTAGTTATATCCCGCGATTTCGCCTGCGTAAATTATAGTCTATGTGACCCGCTTATGATTTAAGATTTTTTGAAATCGGTCCAGTTGTTTAGGAGCCTATTCGATGCTAACAAACAATAAAATATATTTCTATGTATAATATTAGTATACCTAGATTGATACTTAAGAAAAAAAAATATCTAAGTATAAGCGAGGGCTTAAGCTACTATTTTTTAATCTGAGCAATGTATGTGATGTTGTCTAATGTTTGTTTATTTTATTTCATTTATAATATCGCGTTTACAGTGAGCCAAAATAAAATATAGACAAAATTTTTATATATACATCATCATCAGCCCTTTTACGTCCCCACTGCAGGGGCTCAGGCCTTCCTTATGGATGGCTAAGGAGGATGGGCCATAACCCTCCACGCTGGCCCAATGCGGATTGGAGGGTATTAACGAGTGCAAATGCAGCCGGGACTAACGGCTTAACGTGCCTTCCGAAGCACGGAGTAGCTCAAGATAATTTTTTTTGGTCACCCATCCCGTGACCGACCTTGCGAAAGTTGCTTAACGACAACGATCGCGGGCCACGGCGCTTATCCACTACGCCACCGAGCTATATATACAATGCTCAAAATTTGTCTATGTTTTATACATTTCCGATATACCTTAATATGATTGTCCCTATTGCTGGAGGTCCATACCTACCACATTGGAAGAAATAAGATCCACGTGGCCATTACGCCCACGGTGTAATAAGGCGCTAGTTGATATTTCTTGGTAAAATACTTCGTGTTTAAACTACTCACATATACATAACTTCGTTCAATATTGCGTGTTATGCGTATATAACTAAAGTTTGAGCAGAAGTATTTTGCCACGAAGTTTTAACTGGGAACTTGACAACGTGAGAATTTATAAGCAATCGGGACGGCAACATCACTAAAATCGGGACTGTCCCGGAAAATTCGAAACGAGTGACAGATCTGAATGCGCTGCCAGAGTGTAGAGATTCAATCAAATATAAAACCTACTTAAAAGAACCTAAGTTTTTATTTCATTGAATCTCTAGCCTGTGAAAGCGCTACGGTCGTCGTCGAGTAAGAGATTGTTTTTAACAGAATAGCATCGTAATCGTCACCAATTTCTTAATGTCCCCACTGCTAGGGCTCTAGCCTTCTACATGAATGGAATAGAATCAAATCCAACTAAAGATAATTGGGCATAACCCACCAGACGGGCCCAGCGCTGATTGGTGGGTGTGAACGACTACAGATCCAGCTGAGACCAACGGCTTAACGTGCCTTCCAAAGCACGGGGGATTTCGAGATATTAAATGTTTGGTCACCCATCCTATGACTGGCCCTTTCCAAAATTGCTTAATAACTATATCACAGACCGAGCGCGCTCACAGTGCGCGATCAACCATTCCGCGATAAAAATCATAGTTAGATTATGATATTTGAACAATTTCGCATTCGCAATGCTATACTGAAAAATATTCTTAATTTTTTAAGCATTTTCCATTAAAAATATCATAGTTTGATTAAAAAATACCTACAAGGTGCACGTCGCAGCTGTGAGAATAGATCTCGTGCTAACGATGGTGCCACCACAAATAAGGCTGAAAACTGTTGGGCTATCTTCGGCCACTAAAGCTGCTATCGCTGGGTATTGATTCAAGGCCGCTGCACCGCCACCAACGATCCTTTCTAGATTCCTTGGTTCGACTGGAATATAAAAAAAAATACAAACGTAAAAATGGCATTGAATCAACAAAACAAGTAATCTATAGGGCTATATTCATGTTCGATGCATTTATGAACAATGGCAATATTTTATAATCATCCTATTACAAATAAAATCGGCATACGGCCTAAGAAACTAATCTCAAATGGCCGGTGCATCACATTTTAGCAATTATGCAGTTATATTTATTGTTCGTACATACGTTCACTCCAAACAGACGTTTTATTTAATATTAACAATATAAATTATTACCTATTAAATAAAGCATTGGCTTACATATCTATTCTTATTCGGCGCTTTATAAAGCGTGCCGAATTTTAAATACATGAATTTCAAATAAGACACAATAATTGAATAAAGTTTTGTATAGATGCAGGTAAGTATGTATACAATACATCATTTTATATACAATTAATATATTGAAATATACCATAATGTATTGTTCATATATAATATAAACATTAGCCAAATAAACATTATATATTTATAATATAAACATTAGACAATAAAAACTTAAGCCTGCAAACTTTAAAAAAGTGATAAATAATACTTATCTCAAAAGAGACTTATTCGAGAAAATGCTATTGAAGTCTGGCGGAGGTTTTCTGTAGATTATTAATTATCATCACTTTATTAAAGATTGAATTCGGTTTTATATATTTTTAAAGTTTTTATTTCATGCTTTTCAGTGACATTGATATTTTTTATTTATTAGGTAAAACTTAAAATATTAAATGTGTATTTAAATAAAAATATTTAATATAGTGATTTATTAAAGTCTTTCATCAATGGAAAGCTACATAATACGCGGCCAACATGGGTTGGCCTATCGCGGGGAAACAGCTAGTTTAATAGAAATTTGTTCACAGTTCAAGAGGAAATCGTTGAACATACCTAGCACTATAGAGGTATATATACTCACTTTACTCATTGATGCCTACTATCTATGACTTTCATATAAAAATATACATCAAAGGGTAAAGTATACATATTTGTTGAACATAGAATATATTCCTTTCAGATTTTGAAATGGACCATATCATAACACACCATCTTAGGTGATATCTGTTGAAAAGCCTATTTTGTTTTGTTATAATAGGAAAACTTGGTCCATTAAGGTATTAAATTAAAAAAGAATTTTGAAAATCAGACAACAATTGACGAAAATATTTGTGAACATACATCAAAAAGAAATATATCACCGTAAAACATATAACCTCCTTCCTATGGATTTTGAAGTCAAAAATCTCACCTGATGCAACTAAAAGAACCACTACTAGAGCAAGTAACACACCCATGATTGTTGACTATCAAACGTAATGTACGTATAATCTCCTTGCCGAATTAAGGTATATAAGCAATTTAAAATAATCTAATCAAAATAATTTTATACGATAATATCATTATAGTTGTAAAAATAGGGTAAATACACCTATTGCCGCACCACTGGAGTATATTGGTCAAACACACGAATGGAATTTTTGAGAAAATTAAAATAAAAGTTCTTGCGTCATAAAATTTATTTAAAATCAACTAAAGTAAGTTATCTTTAATCTAACAAAACCGTTAATTGAGATCAATTTATAATATTTAATAATCAATTTATAAGATTGAGATGTCTACAGGAAATAAAAAGAAATGTTTTAGTTAAACTTAACAATATAATAAAAATATTAAAACACATTAAAAACTCTTTTTAATCGGTCTCATTTTACTCCTTAATAAGCCAAAGGAAACAAAAAAATAATCGAAAGGCGTCCACAGAAAAGATATCCCTTCCTATGGTCATAGTATAAGAAAAAGTTAGAAAATATTTTCATCTTCAGACAAAAGCATATCTATATATGTTTTCTTGGCTATAGGTATGTCGTCATCAGTATCAGTATCTGAAGAGATCCAAAACTTCCTTTTTTTAGGCCTAAGAATAGGCTGCATTATTAGGTTATCAGGCGTCATTCGGTCTGTCAAAGCCGGTGAATATGCAATAAAAACCAATTTCATAATGACAACAAACTTCATGGGCCTTGCACTCTAAGCAACTTAGGCGCCTTACATGGATAGTGTATGGTTTATCGATACTCCATGATAACTGATGAATCCCCAAAGTACTTTTGAAAGGTTTTGTAGCAGCATTGTCTAATTTTTTTTTATTTCCGGGTTTAGGGGTTCGTTTATCGTAAAGACTTCAATACCTTTACAACGTTTATCTAGACATAACATCAAGTCATTCAAACTAGCAACATCTTGACCTGTTGCCACACAACTGTCACAGATCCGTTTAATGCAAACGCCTACTCCATCCGGTGCACCTTTGCCATGCCCTCTCTCACTGTAATGCCAAATGATGGAATTCACACCAAACTTCTTGCTTAAATACCTGTATGTTGCTATCAAGTGGAACATTGATTTATTGCGATATTGAGAAGACGACCCGTCACTCAAAATGTGGAGTCAGAGTTTTCAGATTTGGTGATAATTCTCGAATATTAAAGCATGTAAATGCACACATATTAAAAGAGGATCATGATTAATATTTTCCGAGACTGTAAAGAAGGAAGTTTTATATACTTATGATTATTTTTAAAATGAAAATTAGGGACGAATGTGAATTTAAATGAAATTTTATGAATGTAAGATATTGAGGAAAGTGAAGATATAGAAGATTTTATTTAAACCATTTACTATTTACAATGAAATTTTAATTTTAATTTAAATTTGCTACACCCTTACAGGGTGTCACATAAACTGTACCTAATAATAACACCTGTTTTACTATGTGACATGCAATAAATGAATTATGAATTATGAAGTATTTTTTGTATAATTATTTGAACGTTCTGATTGATTATAATAATAGACCGAAGTATGCAAGGAAAACTGTATTTTTGAACCTCCGAAATGTGCCGACGGTATTTCCGGACCATATTGACAATTATAATTTTCGAAACAATCAATATGAAGAAGTCCATCTCCAGGCCTTAATCATTGTTTGATAGTATGAATGGCATTAGATTGATGCATCACGTATGCAATATGTTTTATAAAAGTTGGTAAATTAGATTGTAATATTCCCAAAAGCTTCTTTATAGTTGTCACCACTTTTTCTTTGACAGTATTTTTGCATTTATTTTTTTTCTTGCCCTTTGACAACAACAGTAACAATTTTTGCTATCCATCTCCTGTATGTTATAGTGTCATTATCGCTAAAATCATTCTGCTGAATAGTTTTTTCTTTACATTCAGCACAATCACTTTCTAAACAATATAATGTTAAGCCAGCCATTAAATAGCATGTTTTTTAATTCTGTGGACATATTCTTTCCTATAGATACAAAACAATGTATTTAATATCACCTCTATAGACTAAGATATCTGCTTTAGACGAGGAGTCTACAGACAAGATGTCTACATAAGCGATATATCCATCATAAATTAAACAAAGCTCGTTAAATTTGAGATTAAGAGTTAGAGTAAATGATATTTGAATAGCAGTACCATACACCTACGAAGCCCTTGCATTTATAAATATTTTCAATCAGTACTTAAATACATGCACTTTTACCAGGAAAGAATCACTTATCTTGTCGACAAACTTGTGCAATTGAATAAGGAGACAGGTTTAATTTACTGACGCATTTGTTAAAATTTTAGCTCTTTTATGCGTCTACAGGAGATGATCTGTAATGTGTGAACGACATGTTTAAACGTTATTATTCTTAAATAAACGATGGCAATTTTAGTCTTATATTGGAATGCATATAAATTTATATAACAATGAACTTATTATAAGATAAAGATCCTAAAAGCATTTCCATTTGTTTTTAAATGTCTTCTAAACTTAGAAACAGTATCCGAATAGTTTAATCGATCAAACAGACGAATAAAGAAATTTATTGTTTCAGTATTTAGGCGCTTAGCTCAAAATAACTGCATTCGTTGCAAGTAAACAAAAAATATAAAAAAAAAACTTGAAAAATACACGTGACAAAATCATTTAAAATCAGTTTAACTTAATTAATAAGATAGTTTAGAGCCAATTAAATAATGATCGTAGATTATTTTTGCAAAGGGTGATTGCTGGGCGATTCAAAGAGAATAATAACGAGATGAATCAACTAAATGGTGAATTTTGTTCTCAACACATAATTAAAAAAATGCTATCGGGTAAATAAAAGAATACCGTCCTCGTATATATGAGATATGATGTAGACTTGTTCTTTTTATTATTTAGACATATATTTTTTTATAAAACCATTTATTTACTTATTTATGTTTTAAACGCTCTCAACATCTAAACTACAATCATATCAGGTGATTTCCACCCGTGCCAGGTGTGTAACTGTCTAATTTTAAAATCTATTGCAAGCCTCTTCAATTTTACATCGAAAGGATATCCACAAACTTCACGCTACAACTACTTGACGTGCGATAGCGATCGCGACCTTTTTTGAAAGATATGAAATGGAAAGTGACTTCATATTCTAATGAAGTCACTTTTCAATAAGACTTCTGTGTGTGAAATAAAACAGGGAGAAAAAAAACAGCCCTTGCTGAGTTTCTTGCCGGTTCTTCTCAGTACAAGGTCTCCCGCCGTAGTTTTGCGAACCGATGGCGTAGTTTTCGACTTTCACAAGTGCTCTGTAAAAGCCTAAACTGAATAAATAAATTTTGATTTTGATTTTGATGGAGGATTATTTGAATTATCGTAAATTTGGATTGCTAAGCAAACCGATCAATTCTATAAAGCTATTGAGAAATTTCAAACGAAAGAATTGAATGCTAATTGCAATCTTCTGACGGGTTTAACTTAGTTTTTAATATGTTTCTTTGATCATTCAAATCATCATTCGATCTAAATGTGACTGCGTTTTTTAAAATTACATCATTTCATAAATCGCAGTCGCGTTGAAATAGATTTCAAAAGCTCTAGATACCTTATGCTGGGGCCACGGTAAAGACAAGAATTCCACCTCGTAATCTACTCCAAAAAAGACCACATTGAGCAAGAGCCGTGACCACGACAAGTATTATCATCATATTTTCAAACCATTATCAAAACTTTTTGTGTTTTAAAAAGGCGTTTTTCCCAAGGCTTACAAGTAATTGATTAATGTTTACATTTGGTGCAACATGTGAATGCGTTCTCGTTTTTCCATTTTAGTGTACTGTAGAAATGTTTTACCTTCTCCATTGTCAATAACAATATATCTAAGATTTCTCTGCTGGTTTTCAGGATAAAACTACTTAAATCCCATTATTCCTTTATTCATTAATTCCAATATTCATTTTAGCAATTGCGTTATCTATAAGCTGTGCTCTAAATTAGTAAGTTAATCAGTCAGCTGTCAGGACAAAGATTTACAAAAAATAGTTTTTATATTAGATTAGATAAACTTTGATTTTAGCGATTTTATTATTATTTCTCTAGACATGGTAATAGAAACTCTTATATCAGTAAGAATGGCAACTAATGATAATTTATGCGGATTTTTATTTTTTGTACATAATTATAACTTTTTCCTCCTGTAATTTTAATAATTACTTAAATGCCCTGAAATAGGTATGGCTACCCTTTCATATTCTGGTAAAAAGTAATTGATCATATCTTTATTTGTTATTAATTAGCAGGCCCTAATAATAAAATTTGATATAATCAGTATATGTCACAGCTTAAAAATTTAAACAGCCGTTTAAATAAATGGCTAGCCCTATAGCGCCATTCGAATTAAATTATTACGACATTTCAAATATTCAATAGGACGGTCAATTCCTTCTTAACACACTCATACACTCAGAACGTTTAATATATTTTAGAACACCTTTATTTATTTTGTTTTGACTTGGACTTTAGCGTAGAGAATTAATTTTGAGAGGAGCGTATATGCGATAACACGATTAGCGATGTTTTTTATTGGACGTGTAGAATTACAGAAGAGATTTTATCATCTACTGCTTGAGTTGTGTGTATAGTTTTTATTGTAATAAAAAATGTTAGTAATGTAGTATTAATAATATATTCAATGCAGAATGAACACAAATTCCTTTGCGTAACAAAAAATTGGATTTAAAAGATTTCGCCGTTTTGGCGGTCTTCTCGAACTTATTGAATTTGGGTCACTGGTGGGCTATAGCCACAAATATAGAATAAATTGTTCCTACATAGACTTTACGGCTAAATATTACCTAATTATAAACAAATTAATTAATGTTACACAAAGTGTGTAAAATAATTTTTCTCTTGTTGTTGAAAAGTGTGGTTTATTTAATAATTACTACAGTGAAGAAAAGAAACGATGTATATTTAAGATCGAGCGTTGCAAAAAAG